CCAGCAGGGCTGAGCTAACTCTGGAAAGCTTTCCATACCTTTTATAGCTGCTCGTGGTATACAACCGCTTTCCTGGGTGATTGCTTGACTCAAATCCTTGCCCCAGTTTTCACATGTCTTTCTCCTCTTCTCATCTCTCTCTTCTGAGATACTCCTTATAGGATTTAGGGCCTGTTCAGATGTTGTTTTCCTCTCAAGACTTTAATATATCTGTGAAAAATCCTTTTGACAGATAAGGTCACATTCCCAGTTTTCCAGGGAATGTTAGGATAAGGATGTATTTTGTGGAGTGTCAGCCTACTCACCCATGGGCAGAATGATAACAGCAGGAAAACACTACTTGCTATTCACTTTGGGGTCATGAAACTAGACATGGAATGCCAGGATTATGAGAAACAGAAGATGGAGGCAGTCAGAAGGGGAAGGTATGGAAACTGCTTCATCAACCAGCCACGGAGTCATCCTTTTCTCTTTCAGATGTACACTGTAGTTCTTCCATCCAATTCTATGCCAGCTGTAAATTTGTTTGGTTTGTTATCTGTTTCAAAAGCAAACACAGTGTTGACTGCAAGATCCCAGTGGCATCATATCTTGGATAACTGAAAGCAAATGCTTTTTAAATGCCAAATGAAATCTCCCTGGACCAGCAGAGGATATTTTTTAACACACTAAAGAGAACACACTTAACATAATTTGACAACCTTCATTTATTCTATTATCTTCCCTTAAAATTTTTAAAAAAAGTTATGCCATCCCATATTTATTGAGATAGTAAGGATCTGGAAAAAAATTTCACACAATGTTTGTACCAGGCTTATAATTATCAACTATATATATATATATATATATATATATATATATATATATACACTGTCTCTGGAAATGAGTCGAATTAGAATTCTATAAATATTTGGTGATATTATTTTCTTCAGAAATTTTTTTCATAACATTAGTCTAGATAGATTATTTTGCCTCATGTAATGAGTTGTTTAATTTTAGCCACATTTCTGTTTAACCCTAGTTTAAATACCATAAGAAAAGACAGTGCTCATATATATACACATATATAAATATGTATACATATGCACATATATGTGTATATATATATATATATGTATACACAGGAATGCTAAGAGTAAATAAGTGAATAAGACTTGGACCTAACTCAAAGACACCCACTTCTGCCTTTATTAAGCCCTAAACTGTGTTTCTTAATTGAAGATTTATAATCTACAGGGTGTACATAATTACTATCCTCTAAAATTTATTTTAATTTTTAAATTATTCAGTGGTTCATAAGCCAATAACATTGTGCCTGTCACCTGGCAAGCATTCAGTAACAACAGGTGTTACTATTAATAATTCTTTCATTGCTGTGACTATTTAATAATGATTTCCCCAGTAATCCAGAGATTCCTTTCTCAGCTGGACACTGGTAGCTCATATCTGTAATCCTAAAATATTCCCACTAGATGCTCTATTTCATTTATAAAGTTCTACTTACAAATGATTGACTCCTAAGTCCATAGCTTATGCTTAGTATTTACCTTTTGCTTCACTATATTAGCTGGAATATGGGAGATATCTGAACTTCCCCATCTTTTAGCTTCCATTACATTTTTGCTACCTGTCTATTGGTCTGCTGCCCTTTCCTTCTTCTGATTCTTGAATGTCATCGTTCTCAACATTTATATACTTGAATTTCTTACTCAATATTCTATCTTCATTTATTATCTGCAAACATCCAGCTGCTAGGTTGAGACTTCAAATTGTAGTCTTTCACCTATACTCATATTTCAAATTTTCGGCTTATAATCTCCACCTTGTTCTTTCCTTGAACCCAATGAGCCTCTAAACTTTCCCTTCAAAACTAATTCCATGCCAGCTTTACCTAAATGTGGAAATAATACATTTCTGAGTTATCCGTCTTGCAGCTTGAAGTAATGGTACATATGGTATTTCTTGGTAAATCCTGGCCTAAAAGTAGGACAGTCCTTGAAAATTCTCCTCTTTCAATATGCTCCTATTCACAAATCTCCTATTTTTTATCAGGAGGAAAGAATGGAAACTAGAGTTTGCAAGCTAAGGTTGAAAAAGCACATCAACCCTGGAGACCAGTGGCACTAAAGAAATAAAGACAACATAACTAGAATAAATTTTCTCTTTATCCATTGCCCTTAATTTATAATTATTCAACAAGCGATATACATTTGATTTCCTCAAGTATCAAAATGATTGATTATCAAATGACCTATAAAAATGTACATCACAATGTTATTTATAGTAACACAACCAACATTGTTTCATTTTACAATAGGGCACAGACTAGATGCTATCTCACATATAAAATATTTGATGAATACTTTGCAGCAATTTAAATTTTGATACATTGTTCTTTTGTTGTTGTTGTTGTTGATCATGGAGCTTGAACTCTGGGCCTGGGCTCTGTCCCTCAGCTCTTCAGCTCAAGGCAAGTGCTCTATCACTTGATCCACAGTGCCACTTCCAGTTTTCTGGTGGTTTATCAGAGATAAGAGTCTTACAGACTTTCTGCCCAGGCTGGCTTTGAACCACCATCCTCAGATCTCAGCTTTCTTAATAGCTAGGATTACAGGTGTGAACTACCGGCCCCTGTACACTGTTCTATTAATAGAGATAGAAAGACATTTACATGTATTCCTGAATAAAAGTAGGGACTAGGAGAGAAATAGGATGTGCCAAAAAAAACCCACTAAGGAATATTATTTCCTTTAAATTGTGACCAGCAGATTTCTATATATAAATGCAATGATTCTACCTTCACTGTGTTCAGGGAAAGCTTGAAAAGAAACATAAACAGTAAAATAGATCTAGAGTGATCAAAACATTGTAAGGAACACCTATTTTCCAAGAATTGTACAATTCAAAAGGAACATGAGATACAAGCCCCAAATCACTTTATGTGCCTTGTAGCAAGTGCAATTGCGTGATTTTTCTCCACACCACACACCCTGCCATGGCTGATGTATAATTTGAGCCTTCAAACATCAATGTATTAATTCTTACTATTTCCTCACGGCAGCTAATCTGGTGAGTTCATCCACTTTGGGCATTTTAAGTGTGTGTGAAAATTGTTTTTGTTTGCATCTTCAAAGCTTGAGATACCACCTTTATGAGAGCCAAATGGTATCTTCAGAGTAGAAATTTGGGGGATATTATTTCTATTAGATTTTTTTGTGACTTCTACAATACATGATCTTATGAAAATTGCCTAATTTTCCTGAGCCTCAAATACTTTGTCTGAAAAAAATGGGCTAATTATTATCTACTTTACAGGGAGGTTCTGAGGCTTAAATAAGACAAAATTAATTCAAGCCCTCAGCCTGAACATAGTGACTCCATTCAATTCCAGTTCCTTTCCTTCCTTTTCCCTGTATTGCCCATGAATAGACTTGTTCAATCTTCATGGAAGCCTGATTTGAATGTATTTGGTTGTGCATCTTGCCTCCCTAGATCTGTAGCTAACATCCTATCTCCCAGAACATAGAAGACATTTTTGTTGATTATGCTACTCTGTTTTTGGTACCTCATTATGGCAGCACTAACAAAGTAATAACCCTCTAGTTCTTGTGCTGACCACTGCTTTTAGTGACATCCCTTAAGAAAGTCTTTTTTGGGGGGGTCCAGTCGTGGGGCCTGAACTCTGGGCCTGGGCGCTGTCCCTCAGCTCTTCAGCTCAAGGCTAGTGCTCTACCATCTGAGCCACAACGCCACTTCCGGCTTTTTTTTCTTTTTGCTTATGTGGTGCTGAGGAATCGAACCCAGGGCCTCATGCAAGGCAAGCACTCTACAACTGAGCCACCTTCCCAGCCCCCCTTAAAAAAGTCTTAATCAAGATCTGTAAAATCCTTATTTTCTAAATTCAAGGAAAACAAGTCAAAAACAAGCCAACTCTTAGTTTACAGGTATTTTCAAGAATATAGAGGGCAAAGAGCCTTTCTAATAAAAATGACTGGTTCTAATATCTTGCTACTTTACTGAGTCTAGATTCTACTTAGATGTGAGTTGGTAGAGTAGATTGAAATATGAATGCAAAGAGAGAGAACATCTCTGTATCTATATCAAAGCTATATAGCCCAGGTGTAAAGCTACTCTGCTTAAGAAACATAATAGTACACATTTCCCCACAGTTCATCAAAAAACTTGCTACAAACACTATTTAAATGTCATTTTATGCTCTCTCATACATCTCTCTGTTACTATAATTTGCCAAATGTCAGAGTAATGTGAAACAATTTAGATCTCCTCTTTTTTTGCCACTCCTTTCAAAAAAAAAGAGAGAGAACTTTGTCTACATTTCAGAATATTTTCTTGAAATAGTGTGATAGAAGGGTAATTACTAAGCCAAAGGTTAGAAGCAATTTTTTTTTAATATTCTTACTACTGCGTGCCAAATTGCTTTGTAGAAACTGATTATTCTTTCACTTTGGGCTTCATCGCAAGATAATTGTTGGTATGGAGGAGAAAGTGATTTGTCCTGAGAAGCGTTGGGGATGTCTATGATCAAGTGCCGTGTCAGGTCATGGATTTCTCATCACAACGAGCCCAAAGCCATGCACAGTGTTTGCAAAACATGTGCAGAGAGCTCAGGTCCATAACCCTACTGAAAGCCAGTATGCAAATGCAATGCAACCTAAATCATCAGCTCAAGTAGAGCAGCCGGCGTCTCTCCATTCCGCTCTTGAGGCTGTTCTGAGTGACCTGCGCATTTGAATGTTTAGTTCAGAGATAACGTTCAGTAAACTGTTGTCACTTGAAAATAAACAGTCTGGACAATATATGCTCTATTTGGGATACTGGGAAAATAAACCATGAAGCGTATGCTGCCTTCTTCATCTTCGTAGCCCTTTCTGGAATGTAGGCTCTTGATCTCTTCTTTTTCCTTCCCCACAACAGAAGGTTTTACTTACAGCTGTTTATTTGGCATTTCTGAGAGACCCTTTCTGGGAGGAACTACAGCAATGAGTGCCTTTGGAGTCCTGCTTCGAAGCAACCAGTTCATCCTCCTCCTGCTATTTCTCTTGCAAATTCAGAGCTTGGGGCTGGATATTGACAGTCGGCCTACCCCAGAGGTCTGTACCACACCCACGATTTCTCCAGGACCCAAAGGTGAGACAAGAAATCTAAGATTCCATATCATAACTGTGACCTTTGTCTTCACCCAGCTTCACATCTAATTTGCTCTCTCTATCTCCCTCGGCTTCTTCCCTTCCTTCTATTTTTGAAAATCAGTATTCTGTTATTTACCTTAAGCTAGAGAGTATAGAACTCCAGGCAGGCTTCTGATCCAAGCTACCCAGAGCAGCCAAATTGAGCTCGTTTCCTCTTCGTTCCTCTTCCTTGGAGGAAGAAGGATAGTCAAAGCATTGTCTTTAGGAAGACTTTAAAAAAAAAAAAAGTCATTACTAGGGTTTGAATCCAAGGCCCTAATCCTCTCACTTAGCAGTTTTCACTGTACCACTTAGGCCACAGTTCTACTTCTGGCTTTTTGTTAGTTAACTGGAAATGAGTCTTACTGACTTTTCCGTGTGGCTACTTTAGGCCATGCTCCTCAGATCTCAGCCTCTGAATTAGCTAGGAGTACGGGCATGTGCTACTAGCACCTGGCCAAGAGAGGTTTCGTTCAAGCAGTATTCTTGGGCCATTTTTTTTCTTCTCTCATACTAGCTCTGAGAATGCTATTTAGGCCAAAAAAAAGATCAGTAAACTAGAGATAAATCTGAAGTATTTATTTCATAAATTAAATGGGCTCCTTGTTTCTGGTGGGAACAATTTTAAATCAAGGACTGAGGTGGAATATAAATGAACATTTCTTCATGTGAAAGTGAAGTCTTTGAGGCCAAGTGCCTTCAGCTGAAGAAGGATAAAATTATTGCGAATCTTTTTTCAAGTAGAGCCAAGGTCCAAGGTCCAAATATGCTTCAAGCAACTAGTAGATAAAAAAATCTGTTTTCCTAGTTTCAGCTCTTACCCTTTTGTTCTAAGAGTGGTCACTGCGCTGCAGACTGGTGCTCTTATATTAGTAATTCATGTTCTGTTTCTCCAGGCTATAGAGTGGAAGAATTGCAACTGCTTAAAATTTCAAGTAGAAAAAAGGTTATTTTATATATATATATATATATATATATATATATATATATATATATAGCCTGATTGCTTGTCAGTTATTTAAATGTATATTGCTTAAAGTGCATTTTTCTTAATCAGTGAATTAATTTCCTTCTAAGATTGCAATCCCAGCTTTAACCTTTACCACCCTAAAATAAATGCAGGGAGTCACAAGGAGACCTTGGGGCTTCCAAATAATTTATCGGGTGAACAAATGAATAATATGCGAGCAAATGGGCAGAAAAGAAAGTTTTGGTTAGAAATAAAGTATTTACTTAAAACTATTACTGGATGTTTCTCTACAGTATGGAAAGCTCAGTATCATGGAGAATGCTAAAATTATTCTTTGATTGTGCAGATGGGAAAACTCACTTGAGTATAGCACTGTTGAATAATTTTCCTTGAAGAGAAACTGAACCATTCAAAGAGGAATAATGGAGAGTATTGTTAAAATAATGTCCAAACTGTGATGCATTGTTACCTAACAATTCTGTTTGTTCCAATTCAGCTATTTCACAACAAATACTTAATGTCAGGCACTATTTTAGGTCTGTGGTACATTAAATAATATATATTAGTGTCCTGACAATGGAGAAATAATTAATTTAGGAGAAGGGAAAGACTAGAGCAGATTTTCTGAGAAACTACTTAGACATAAGCATGGTTCAGAAAGATGGGAAAGGGCAGATTCTTTGTTTAGCAGAAACATGAAGAGAATGTGTAAGATATGTTAACGGTACAGAGTCATTAATCCTTGCTTTTAAGAGTTTCAAAATCTATGCGGAAAAAATCTTTCTATGCGGGGAAAAAAAGACAATCTGTGTCCTTTGTTAAAAAAATAGACCACTTTGTCTTATATAAATCTATATGTAATTAATACTTGTCAAAAACCAGAGGTAGCTACCATGAGTATTGTGATCCCCATTTCTTCACTGATCATACTTTACTATTCCTGTTAGAAATCATGTTATGATTTCAAACTATGAAAATCTTATCTGAGCTCTTCCTGAGCAAGTGTAGAATTACAGGAAAATGTGTGGCAGGGTGAAGACTTGACTACACTTAGGAAAGAAGAGGTATTCCAGAATCCTGGGTTCCGGAACTAAGTCCTCCTTTCCTTTTCTGGAGCATGGGAACTCTGAATCAAATACATTCTAAATTCCTTTCTTGACTCCATAATTGTGGAATTTTCCTGAACACCCCCCAGAGTTTCAGGCAAGGAGGGTTTGAAGCTACGATAAGGAATCTATTTATCAAGCTTGGCACTGGAGCATAAACTTCAGGAGTCAACAGCAGTTGCTTTGGTTTTGCTTTGCTGGTTGCTTATACATGAACATGAACCAACCTTTTCTCTGCTTTGGGTACTGTGATAAAAGAGATATAACCAAAACCAAGACATGGCACTTCCAACTATAATCTATAATCTACCTCATTTCTTTATAAATACTCTTAACAGACCTTCTCCCTTCTCTTACATGACAGATTGGTACATTGAGCTCCCTCCCTCCAAAAAAAACCAACAACAAAAAAAATAATCCCACCAATTATTGATAGCTACCATTTGAAAGGATTAAGTCAAGGTTTTTGTTCAATATGTTTTTCCTACAATGAAACCAGTCTATAGTTTTCTCTATGGCCAATCATTTCATTACTCTACTTGTTTTAGCACTGATCTTAGAATCTTCCAGATACTCTGGGAAATATGCAATAAAAGGAATTTACTCTAAATTCACTTAAGAGAGAAGAAACTAATAAATTATTCCATTTCTGATGGAAAACCAGTAATACTATCCAGTTATAGAATTTGTTGTCAAATATACAAACATTTTTAAAGTACTATTTTCTAAGCATGACAGTGGAAAGATAAAGTACTAGCTCTAGCCTGGCTAGTGTTCAGCATGTTATTATACCTCATGTTTGTTTATTTGCAAGATGGGCTTTAATTATAGACTTCTCATTATTATATAGGGTGATCACTATAAACTTGAGTAGATATCATCAACATTTAACAAATTCTGTTTGTATTTCCTTTATCTCCTAACCTACATTTTTTGAGTATCAAAATTTTTTTGGTTATCAAGGCTTCTTTTGTTCAATAGCATCATTATTTTTCTTTTTATACGCCTATTTATTATTTTATGCTGTTTAGCAGGAGAATGTTCTCTTTGCTTCTCTTTCTCCTTCTCTTCCTCTCTCCTGTTTTCCCTCTCTCCCCTCCAACTGCTCGCTCACTTGTGCGTGCTCTCTCTCTCTGTCGTCTCTGTCTCTGTCTCTGTCTCTGTCTCTGTCTGTCTCTCTCTCTCTCTCTCTCTCTCTCTCTCTCTCTCGCTCCTCGCTCGCTTGCTCGCTCTCTCACCAATTTATGTGAAATTCTGACCTCTAGTGGTTTTACTTGAAAACAACAATGACACAATATTTTAACAAACTTTTAGTATTTAAAAATTAGTATGGAATATTAGGGTTGTGTTATAATTTTCACAGATATTTAGAAAACATTTTCTTATTCTGTTTTTCACAATTCTTCTGTCCAGTCACAAGAGCTAAATATATAGGAATATTCTCGGGGAAGCCCAGTGGAGCACCCAAAGTCTTTCTGAAATAAATTTAACCCCTAGCCTTATCTGCAAAGGCAGTGTCATTTCAGGACTTTTTCAATATTTACATGTTGAGTTTAAAGACAAAATCCATTGGTCCCTTTTTAAATTTTTTTATTGTAAAAATACTGTACAGAGGGGTTACAATCATATGAGCAAGGTAATGAGTACATTTCCTATCAAGCATTGTTGCCTCCTCCTTTGTTTTCCCCCTACCATCCCTTCCCTCCCATCTCCACAACTACATCCTCCTCCTCCCCCCTACCTAAATTGTAAAGTTTGTTTTTCAACATAGTGTCTTGTACATCTCTGGTCCCTTTTAAAATGATAATATATGGACAAGATGGGAGGCCTAAGAATGTTGAACTCCTGCAAGCTCACTACCCATTGGTGGCATTGGACTCTTCAAACACACAGAAAGGGATGACACGTCTCCTTCTTTGTGAATAGCATCATGACTTCATAGCACTTACCACTACTTTGCTGTGATCCTTATTTTGGCCTCTTCTAACTTTTTATTTCATTTTGGATGCCACGTTATGTGTGTGCCCTCCAGGTCCTCTTCGGTCTGATTTCTCAAACTCCTCTATTTGTAGTTTTCTTAGATAGTCACAGTTTCCTGTTCTCTTTGATAAGCGTAGCTATGCCATGAGAAGGCTTGTGTAGCCCGGCATTAGTTTCTGGGATCATTTCTCTCTCAGCAAATCCCTGGCCATGAGAAAATGGTTTTCTGTTTGACCATTCCACTTTGTTGCTAGACATGGCTCTGTAACCAAATAATTGACACAAATTGCGTTATTTCTCCAAATGCTTCCAGATTCCAAAAGTCTTCCTATGATTTCTAAAAACAGAAGTCCAGATATACCCAGAAATATTCATAGCTCTTGTTTTCAAGTTGGAAGTCTTACTCCCTGCAAGATAACTCCCGTAGATCAATACACAACACAGTGTCAAAGACTTTGCAAATGTGAACTAATAATAGGTTAACAAAGCCCAAAGAAGAAGGAGACTGAGCATCTTGATTTTTTCTGTTGTTCTTTGGATTCTCTTTAAGAAAGTAAACAAGCTGGTGAATGTGGTGGCTCAGTGGTGGAGTATCTGCCCCGTATACACCAAGTCTAGATTACATAATATACTTTATTCAATCCCTAGCACATACATACAAAGAAGAACTTTTCTGTGTGCCTTAAGCAATATATCCTATTGGTGGTCACTGATGCATGCTGTTTAGGTCTATGACATTCTATGTGGGCAAAGTTGGTAACTGTTAGAATCGTTTTATTCATCCTTCCCCTTCTTCCCCCAGATATATCTCATTATAGTCCGGACCAACACACATCTTTCTGCGTACTGCCTATCACATATTTAATCTGCAACATTTTATAATTTTATAAAATTAGACTTTAT